GAAAATCTCCCTTGCTCTCAAAAAAAGTTACAAACCATAAGAAAATAGCAAAGATTAAGAACACCTGATACAATGCAAATAATCACTGTTTGTTAGCATTCCATAAAATATCAGAGTGTTATATAGTTATCTAATAGTCATGTTAACTGCCTTCTAAAAAAGAAGTACCCAAATCAAAAGAATTAGAAGACCACAGCATCTTTTTTTTTTTTTTTTTTGAGAGGTTTTTGCTATAGGGCACATGCGCTCGCCAGACAGACAAGAGACAGAGACAGAAAGTGAGAAATCACCCCCCAGGGGGGATGGTCACACGGCAATCCCTTCTCCTCCATTCTCCTCTTGCGATCGTGGGCACGCACGCACACGCGCCTGGCGTGAGTTTTAAGCCACTGGGACTGGGATGCAAACCACGGTCGAATACGTGGGAGCCCAGCAACATAGCCATTACGCTAACTGCTAGTTCCCAAGACCAAAGTATCTTAAAAAGTGTCTGACACAGGCACAGACCTTCTGTTTTTTATTCCCAATAACCAACAGACACAAAGAAAAGTAGATACAAAATTCATTTATGGTCATTATTTGAAATCTCATATGGCTATGTTCTTGCTCAGAAGACAAAATAAAAAGTACTTAACATACTTACTTTCAGCAGTGGACAAAGTACAAGGATTACAGTCAATCAAAGCTAACTGAAAATGCTGCAAGAGAAAAGCAAAATATTAGTGCATTAAAAATCCAGACTTGCATAGAATAAATTGTTTTGTTTTTGGAGAGGTTTATTTTTGCTATAGGGTGCGTGCACTCACCAGACAGAGAGAGAGACACACAAAGCGAGAAATCACCCCCCGGGGGGATGGCCACGCCACAGTCCCTTCTCCTCCATTCTCCTCTCGGGATCTTGGGCACATACGCACACGCACCTGGCGTGAGTTTAAGTCACTGGGTCCAGGACTTGAACCGTGGTAGACTACATGGGAGTCCAGACACATAGCCATTGGGCTAACTGCTGGTCCCTAGAATAAATTCTTTTGCAGCCTATGAAAGTCTCATAAAATACTAAAGCTATTGAGAGCTAAGATAAACTGTATCAAAATATGCAGAATTGGTGAATTGATTATTTAAAACTAAAATTAACTGACAAACTAGAGAAAAGGCCATTTGAATGGTCTTTTCCTACATGTGATAAGCCATAAAGATTCTGCTGAAAAGGACGTCCTATTGAACCAGGGCAAAATTAGCAGAAGACTGGTAACTGAGACTTTAACAAACCTGTATAAGCTCTTAAAAAACCTTACTTTCAACTAACTTCCCTTTCCTTACAGAGATTCCGCTTTCCTGTTAATTTAGTAATTTTTTATAAATTCATAATTTCTCTCTAAAAACAATAACAATGCCTAGTTTTACCACTTCTTTGGACTTCACATTCTTGTAAATCCCTGTATGGATGTTTAACTAATATTTGAATGTTTTTCTCTTGTTGATATGCATTACATTAATTTGTTTCCTAGATTCAGGTTTAATAGCTTGTGTAATTAAAGTTACACCGGGACAGCAGGTGGAATAGAAGTTAACTGAGGTCAGCCATGCAGCCAGACTTCTGCATGGCTGACTTCAGTTTGAGTTCGGGACCCAGCATTTTGAAACTCAAGCTAAGCACAAGTGTGTGCGTACCCAAATTCCTCAGAGTAAAATGAAAAAGAGATTGCAACCTGGCCAACCCTTGAAGGGGTGATTTCTCTCTGGTGATTTGTCTCAAGCAAGCACATCCACTCTATACCAAAAATTTCTCTTAAGAAAAAAGGTTATATAACTAAAATGAACTATTACTGTAAATAAAACTTTTATCACTCAAAATCTACTGTTGTAAATGAAAATAGCCATTGGGCTAACTGCTGGTCCCTAGAATAAATTCTTTTGCAGCCTATGAAAGTCTCATAAAATACTAAAGCTATTGAGAGCTAAGATAAACTGTATCAAAATATGCAGAATTGGTGAATTGATTATTTAAAGCTTAAATTAACTGACAAACTAGAGAAAAGGCCATTTGAATGGTCTTTTCCTACATGTGATAAGCCATAAAGATTCTGCTGAAAAGGACGTCCTATTGAACCAGGGCAAAATTAGCAGAAGACTGGTAACTGAGACTTTAACAAACCTGTATAAGCTCTTAAAAAACCTTACTTTCAACTAACTTCCCTTTCCTTACAGAGATTCCGCTTTCCTGTTAATTTAGTAATTTTTTATAAATTCATAATTTCTCTCTAAAAACAATAACAATGCCTAGTTTTACCACTTCTTTGGACTTCACATTCTTGTAAATCCCTGTATGGATGTTTAACTAATATTTGAATGTTTTTCTCTTGTTGATATGCATTACATTAATTTGTTTCCTAGATTCAGGTTTAATAGCTTGTGTAATTAAAGTTACACCGGGACAGCAGGTGGAATAGAAGTTAACTGAGGTCAGCCATGCAGCCAGACTTCTGCATGGCTGACTTCAGTTTGAGTTCGGGACCCAGCATTTTGAAACTCAAGCTAAGCACAAGTGTGTGCGTACCCAAATTCCTCAGAGTAAAATGAAAAAGAGATTGCAACCTGGCCAACCCTTGAAGGGGTGATTTCTCTCTGGTGATTTGTCTCAAGCAAGCACATCCACTCTATACCAAAAATTTCTCTTAAGAAAAAAGGTTATACAACTAAAATGAACTATTACTGTAAATAAAACTTTTATCACTCAAAATCTACTGTTGAAAATGAAAATGTTATTGAATTATTTCAGTGATTTAATTAAGAGTGGAGAATATGAGAGAGAATTGAAAACACTGTTCTTTTTCAGGTTTTGCCACAGGGTGTGGTGTACTCACTGTAGAGGGTCAGAGACAGTGAGAAAGAAAGTGGCAAACTACCCGCCCCTCAGGGAGATGGCCATGCCTAAATCCCTTCCCTTGGGATTTTGGACACATACACACATGTGATTGGTATGATTTTCAAGTCCTAGGACTGGGATAAAAACAACTATTAATTATATGGGATAGTAGTGCAATAACCATGTATCTGCTGGCACCACATTGTTGTTATATAAAAATTTCAGATATTTGAATCTTTAAATGTACAAAATACTAAGTTATATAAATATTTAAAGGAGACATACTCTAATTCATTATTTTAAAATTTGGAAAGTTTAATGTTAATTTTTTTGTTCCAATATATTTTATTTATTTATTTCTATTTATTTTATTTCATTTTCATTTATACGTCTTACAAAATGGGTATTTCAAAAAAAAAAGTGGGTATTTCAACAGGTGAACATTTCTCCCTAGTGTAGTTGATAAAACTATAAAATATCTTCAACAGATAATACCACACCTCATTGTGCCATTAATGGTTTGCCTCCCTAGATTTCATCTAAATATCCTTCTTCAGACCCTTTTTCACACACAGTATACTTGTACTCACATCTATATACTGTGCTTCAATATCCTTTAATAAATTAGTTTCAGTCATGAGAGTGGGGACACTCTGTATATATTAAGTGGGGATATACAATGTCTCTCCTTCATAGCCTGGCTTACTTCACTCAGCAGTAAGTCTTCCATATTCTTCCACTTCTATCAAAGGGCCAGGGTTTTGGAGTTTTGTTGTTGTTGTTGTTGTTTTGTTTTGTTTTTTCTTTTTTTTAATGGCTGAAGAGTATTCCATAGAGTTATGTCTCATAGTTTTTTGATCCATTCATCTGTTTGTGGAAATTTGGGTTGTTTCCATGACTTAGCAATTGTGAATAGTACCACAATAAACATGGATGTGCAAGCACTTTTCCAATTAAGTATTCTTCTGTCTTTTGGGTAGATACCAAGGAGTAGGATTGCTGGATCATATATGGTAGTTCTATTTGTAGATTTTTGAGGAATCTCCAAATTGTTCTCCACAATGGCTGGACCAATTTACATTCCCACCAGCAGTATAAGAGAGTTCCCCTTTCACCACACCCCCCCCCGCACCTATCCTTTTTTTTTTTTTTTTAAATCTTAGTCATTCTGACTGGGATTCAGTGGTATCTCATTGTTGTTTTTATTCTTATTTTCTTTTTTGAGAGGTTTTTGCTATAGGGTGCGAGCATTTGCCAGAGAGACAGAGACAGAAAGTGAGAAATCACCCCCCAGAGGGGATGTTCTCACCGCAGTCCCTTTTCCTCCATTCTACTCTCAAGATCATAGGCACGCACAAACACGTGCCTGGCATAAGTTTAAGCCACTGGGTCAGGGACTTGAACCGCAGTAGACTAAATGGGAGTCCAGCGACAGAGCCATTACGCTAACTGCTGGTCCCAAAGGGCTTTTTTTTTAAAGAAATGTTCTATAATATATTCCTACAAATACTGATTTTCACAACACCTACCAATTTCCAACAATTAAAACAATCTATTATGATACCATTAAATACAGGACAAATTATTTTAAAATTCAACTACAGGCCCAACCCTAGTGATACAGGCAGAGGAGTACCTCTGTGCAAAGTTTAAGTTATGTGGAAGACACAGATTGGGATCCCAAGTTTACTTGAACATGTCATGTGTGACCACCCTGTGAACATGGTTAGCTGAAAGTCTGGGACTATGGACAGTGGGAATGGAGTGACTGTTGAGAGTATTTCTGTCCCTACTCTCAAGATACTCATTTATTAAAAAAAAAAAAAAAGGGTCATTCCTACTTGCAATGTAAATATTTAAAATTATGCTAGACATGTTTTTATTTAACATTTAAAATGACAAGTATCCATATAGACCTATAGTATCTTCTTGTTAAAAGAAATCAGCTTTGGATGGAAGTTAGTGTCAGGGCCTGCTGATGGTAACAGGGCTGAAAATCTGCAAAATAGGCGAAAGACAAAATTCCAGAGGACTTTGATCTCAGGAAATTTCCCTCCTTTCAAAATTTTTATTTATTAAAAAAAAAAAAAAAGGGTCATTCCTACTTGCAATGTAAATATTTAAAATTATGCTAGACATGTTTTTATTTAACATTTAAAATGACAAGTATCCATATAGAAATATAGTATCTTCTTGTTAAAAGAAATCAGCTTTGGATGGAAGTTAGTGTCAGGGCCTGCTGATGGTAACAGGGCTGAAAATCTGCAAAATAGGCGAAAGACAAAATTCCAGAGGACTTTGATCTCAGGAAATGGATAGTATTCCAGTTGGTGAACTTTTTTAAAAGCAAGTGAACCTTTTGAAGTCATAATTGGCATGAATATAGTATCTTCTTGTTAAAAGAAATCAGCTTTGGATGGAAGTTAGTGTCAGGGCCTGCTGATGGTAACAGGGCTGAAAATCTGCAAAATAGGCGAAAGACAAAATTCCAGAGGACTTTGATCTCAGGAAATGGATAGTATTCCAGTTGGTGAACTTTTTTAAAAGCAAGTGAACCTTTTGAAGTCATAATTGGCATGGGAAAGGTCTTTCTGAAATGAATGCTGGCCTAGTCAAGCATTTGAATGATAGAAAAAATTTGCAGATCAACCAAGATAAGATGAATCAGCCTACACTAAGAATAACCTAAGTTTTATTTACTCCATTGAAATTACAAATGGAATTTGAGGCAGTGCAGCAGTGTCAGCATCTTCCATTTTTGTCAAGCTAAAAATTTTGGGGGTATTTTGCAGGGTAATACTAGATTTAATGATATTCTCTTTGTTTCTGAGA